AGATAATACAATGTTTACACATTTGTGTCTGGTTTATTTCACTTAAGACTCAAGTTGCATCCATTTACCTATAAAAGTCTTCAGTTTATCCTTCTTTATGGATGAGTAATACTTCATTATATAAAAAGACCATATTTTTTTAATCCATTCCTTGGTTGATGGGCATTTGGGTTGTTTCCAAGATCTAGCTATGACAAACTGTGCTGCTATAAATATGGGTGCATATATATCACTGTTGTACGATGTTTTTAATTCTTCTGGGAAGATACCCAGATGGGGAATAACTGGATCAAATGGGACCTCCAATCCCAGTTTTTTGAAGAATTTCCACACTGATTTCCACAGTTTACACTTCCACCAACAGTGGAGAAGAGTTCCTTTTTCACCACAGCCCCTCCAGCACTTCTTATGGGTTGATTTCTTGATGATGGCCATTTTTCCTGGGGTGAGATGGAATCTCGGTATTGTTTTAATTTGCATCTTCCAAATGACTGGTGATCCCGGTACTGGAAAAAACAAAACAACAACAAAAAAAAGGGGTGGTGATTTAGCTCAGTGGCACAGCACCTACCTGGCAAGCACAAGGTCATGAGTTCGATTCCTGGTACCAGAAAAAAAAAAAATAACTGGTCATGTTGAACATTTTATCATATGTTTACTTACTATTTGTATTTCTTCATCTAAAAAGTATATATTCATTTCTGATGCCCATTTTTGGATTGAGTCTTTAAATTTAGGAGGTCTGATTTTTTTTTTTTAGTCCTTCATATGTTCTCGATAGTAAACCTTTGTCTGAGGAACATCCAGTAAACAATTTTTCCCACATTGTGGGTTGTCTTTTCACTCTGTTGGTGGTTTTCTTGCTGTGAAAAAGCTTTTTAATAAGGTGAGATCCCAGTTGTTGATTCTTTGTAATAGTTCCTGTGCAATCAGGATTTTATTCACAGTCTTTGCCTACAGAAATGTCTTTAAGAGCTTTACCTATTCTATCTTCCAGTAGATTTAATGTTTCTGTCTTAATATTTAGATCTTTGACCCATTTTGAATTTAGTTTAGTGTATGGTGAAAGATACGGGTCCAATTTTAATTTTCAACATGTCAGAGCCAGTTTTTCCAGCACCATTTATTAAAGAGGCTATCTTTCTTCCACTGTATGTGTTTGACCCTTTTGTCAAATATAAGGTGGCTGAATATGTCTGGAGTTGTTTTTGTATCTTCTAGTCTGTTCCATTGATCTTTGGGTCTGTTTTTGGAGGTTTTTTTGTCAGTACCACACTGTTGTGACACCCCCTGCCTTGCCTTTGTTGCCCAGAATTGCCTTTGCTATTCTAGGTTTCTTCTGGTTCCAGATGAATTTTAGGATTGTTTTCTCTAATTGTATGAGATATGCTCTTGGATTTTTTATTGGAATTGCACTAAATCTGTCTAACACTTTTGGAAGTATGGCCATTTTTCCTGTATTGATTCTTCCTAAGTGGGCTATCTTTCCATTTTCTGATACCTGCTTCAGTTTCCTTTTTCAGAGTACTGTAGTTTCCAATGTAGAGATCTTTTACATCCTTTGTTAGATTGATTCCTAGGTATTTCGTTTTTTTTGGATGCTATTATGGAAGGGTTGTTTCACTAATTTCTCTCCTATTGAGATTGTTATTCATGTATAGGAGAGCTGTTGATTTTTGAGTGTTGACTTTGTATCCAGCTATCCTACTGAATTTGCTTATTAAATCTAGCAGTTTTTAATGGAGTTTTGGGAGTTTTCTATGTAGAGTATCATGTCACCTGCAAATAGTGATAATTTCACTTCTTCCTTTCCTAGCATTCCTTTTATTTCTTTCTCTTGTCTAATTGCTCTGGCTAAAGTTTCCAGGACTATGTTGAATAAAAATGAAGACAGTGAACATCCTTGTCTTGTTCTTGATTTTAGAGTGAAAGCTTTCAGTTTTGATCCATTTAGTGTGATGTTGGATGTTGGTTTGTCATAAATGGCTTTTATTAGATTGAGATAAAGACCATCTATTCTGATTTTCTATAGGGTTTTTATCATGAATGGGTGCTGGACTTTGTCAGAAGCTTTTTGCATCTGTTGAGATGATCATGTGGTTTTTGTCCTTGGCTGTATTAATGGGGTATATTGCACTTATTGATTTATGTATGTTGAAGCATCCCTATATCCCTGGTATGAGTCCCACTTGATCATGTGTATAATCTTCTTGATGACTTGCTGCATTGTTTGCCGGTATCTTACTGAAGATTTTTGTATGCATGTTCATTAGCAAGATTGGCCTGTAGATCTCTCTTGGTTGGGTCCTTCTTTGGTTTTGGTATAAGGCTAATGCTTGCTTCATACCAAAATGAATTTGGAAGTATTGCTTCACTTTCAATTTCATTAAGGAGTTTGAGCAGTACTGGTGTTAAGTCTTCTCTAAATTTCTTGTAAAATTCAGCAGTGAATCTGTCAGGGCCTGGGCCTTTCTTTGTTGGTAGCTTTTTAATTACATCTTTGATTTCATTGATTAATACTGTTTTATTTAGGATTTTTATATCTTTTTAACTGAACTTTGGTAATTTGTATGTGTCTAGGAATCTGTCCATTTCTTCTGCATTTTCCATCTTATTACAAGTTTTCAAAATAGGTGTAGATGATCTGGATTTCTGCAGGATCTGTTGTGCCTTCACCTTTTGCATTCCTAGTTGCATGAATTTGAGTCTTTTCTTACCTTTTTTGATAAGATTGGCCGAGGGTTTGTCAGTTTTCTTTAATCTTTCAAAGAACCAACTCTTCCGTTCATTGAATCTTTGTATTATTTTTCAGTCTCCAGTGCATTAATTTCTGTCCTGATCTTTATAATTTCTTCCCTCGTATGAGCTTTTTAGTCTGTTCTTTTTCTAGAAGTTTGAGCTTCGCCATTAAGCTGTTTATTTGTGCTTGCTCTATTTTCCTGATAGGAGTATTCACTGCTATAAATTTACCCCTTAGGACTGCTTTCATTGTGTCCCATAAGTTCTAGTATGTTGTACTGTCATTGTCACTTAATTGTAGACTCTCTCTAATTTCTTCTTTAAATTCATCGCTGACCCCTTGGTTGTTCAGGGGATGCTCTTTCATTTCCCTGTGTTTATGAAGTTCTTGTGGTTTCTTTTGCCATGTCCAGTTTCATTGCTCTGTGGTCTGATGATGTGCCTGGGATAATTTCCATTCCTTTGCATTTACTGAAGCATGTCCTGTGGGTAGTATGCGGTCTGTTTTAGAGAACGTCCCATGTGCAGCTGAGAAGAGTTTGTATTCTGATGCTGTAGGGGAGAACGCTCTGTAGACATCTACTAAGTCCATTTGTTCAAAAGTTTGGTTCAGTTCTATTATTTCATTGTTGACTTTTTATCTAGCTGATCATCTTTTTGTGACACTGGGTACTGAAATCGCCAATACAATTGTAGTAGTGCTTCTTTGATTTTTCATGCCCATTAATATTTGTTTTATATAACGGTGCACTGGTATTTGTTGCCTATATACTTATGATTGTTATCTCTTCCTCTTGGATTGTTGTCTTTACAAGAATATAGAGACCTTTATGTTTCTTAATCAGTCTGAGCTTGAAATTCACTTTGTCTGCAAATGGAATAGCTAGCTACCCCTGCTTTTCTCTGAGTTCCTGTTGCACGGCATATTGTTTTCCATCCTTTGACTTTCCTTTGACTTTCAGTCCATGAATTTCTTTTTCAATTGAATGTGTTTCTTGAATGCAGTATATTGTTGGATTATGCTATTTAAAATTTTTGTAGCTGGGTGTGGTGGTGCACGCCTGTAACCCCAGCACTTGGGAGGCTGAGGCAGAGGGATCGTTTTGAGTTCGAGACCAGCCTGGGCTACAAAGTGAGCTCAAGTCCAGCCTGAACTGCATAGCAAGACCCTGTCTCAAAAAGACAATAAATAAATAAATAAAATAAAATTTTTGTAATATGAATTCTAAAAACTGTAAGTTCAGATTCATATAAATTAATGTCTATGTTTTAATGGGCAATTCTGATAGGTACATTAAAAGTGGTCTAAACATCCCCTACTGCACACACACACACAAAAAGGTATTTCATTTTCAAATACTCTCTAATTATGTTCATCTAGTCCTAAAATGGTAAGATTTTGGTATAAACATTCAGTGATTAATTAAAATAAACTGCAAAAGCTGGGTGTAGTGGCATACACCTGTAATCCCAGCACTCGCTCAGGGTAAGGCAGGAGGATTTGCACAAGTTCAAGGCTAACCTGGGCTACACAGCCAGACCCTGTCAAAAAAAATAGTTGCAAAGCAAGAATTTAATAAAATCCCTAAAGTGTTTTTTAAATACAGTTGTGTGTTGCTTAACAGTGGACTACATGCTGAGAAATTCATCATCAGGTGATTTTCTTATGTGAACATAGAGTGTACTTGGCAAATCTGGGTGCTGTTGGCAGTTACTCAATGCGGCCTTTTGCTGTAATCAAGAGATAAAACAGTGAACATGAGACGTATGGAGGTTCTGCTGACCTAACACAGCCTAAATTTCTACAGTAAACTTTCATAAATAGAAGGAGTATATTCAAATGATGATAGAAAGTATAGTACAGTAAATATGTAAAAGAGTACAGCCATTTATTACCATCAAGTATTATGTACCGTACATAATTGTATGTGCTGTCCTTTTATGTGACTGCCAGTGTGGTAGGTTTGTTACAGCAGCATTTGCACAAACGTACGAGTAATGCATTGTACAGCAGTGCAATGTCACAACAGCTGCAACAACACGAGGCAATAGGACTTTTCAGCTCCCTTCCAGTCTTACAGGACCAGTGTGGTGTATCTAGCTGTCACTGACCAAAACATGTTAGACAGCACATGACTTCTGCAAAACAGACATCATACTTGGTTACTTCTTAGAACCTCCATAGTGATTTATTCTAGAAGTAATTGAGAATGTTAAATTAACTTTTATATCTCTCTTTATAAATAAATATCTTATTTTAGGAACTGAAGTGAAAAAAGTTGAAGCTACAAATGTTCCTTGCACACAGCTTTCAATGTCATTTTTTAATCGGTTATATGATGAAGATATTGTACGAGACACCGGACATATTGTTAAGTGCTTAGATTCTTTTTGTGATCCATTTCTCATTTCTGATGAGTTACGAAAAGTAAGTACAAAATTTTAATTTCTAATTCTTAAGTAGAATTTTATTTCAGGAAATGCGAAGTTGAATGAGCTTATATATAGTTTGATTTTAGTTAAATGAAGTGTATTTATATCTAACGTGAAATAATATAAATATTATATAATGACAATCTAACATTAATTTCTACTCTTTACCAAGGGATAGATACTACCATTCAGGAAGTATTTGCTTTAAGTCTCCCTTCTTTTCCTTTTGGGTACTACCAATTGCATCTCAGCTCTCTCTCTCCCTCTGCCCCTCTCCTTCCTCTTTTTCTCTGGCTGAAAAAACAAACAAACAAAAAAAGCAGTTTCCAGCTTTAGGCTGAGTCGGGCAGCAGTGCAGATTGTATTGGCATACTGTAACATAAGTGCTGATATTAATGTCAGTTCTTGACTACAGCTCAGATGGTTGACTCATCACCTATCGCCTCCCTGCTGCCCACAGGGTACACAGCCAGCAGTGTGCATGTGAGTGGAGAGGGAGAACATCTGTAGCCTGTGACTTTTAACATTCACTCCAAACAGTTTTTAAATTGTCTTTTTTAATTCCACAGCCCAGCCAGGCATGGTGGTACACGCCTGTAATTACAGCATGCACAAGGCTGAGGCAGGAGGATTGCTGCAAGTTCAAGGCTAGCCTTGGCTACATAGTGAGTTCAAGACCAGCCTAAACTACATAGCAAGACCCTGTCTTCAAAAAATCCAAAAAATTAAATTAAACTGCACAGCTTAATCAGTTCAGTACGTGAGAGTGCTCATGTTAAGAATGTGGTAACTATTCACTTCTAAGTGCTTTACTTGCCCTAGTGTTCGTATCTTCAGGTGGTCGCTATCATGGGCTTTACCAGCACATTGTTTTCTTACAGAGGGAAGGAGGGGAGTTAGAAAGTGGACGTGGACGTGTTACACTGGCACACCCAGAGAGCAGCACAGTAGGGGCTACTTCCCCTTACCCGTCTCTGTGGTATACACCCCGGCTTTCGGCACGTCATTATAAATAAGCTGTATGTGGATAAAACCGTAAAAAGTATTCTTTAAATACATCTTACCCGGTGACTTTGTGGTACATTTTCCTCGGCGGTTGTGAGTGGAATCAAGCCAGGTGTGATGGCACATGCCTACAGTCCCAGCACGTGGGAGGCTGAGGCAGAAGGACTATAAGTGTGAGGCCAGCCTGCGCTACATCACAAGACACTGTCTCAGAAATAACTAAATGTAATCAGTTCTCCTAATTAAATGGATTTCTTGCTTCTGGACAGTAATTCTTAGACAACTCCCATTGCTCCCTCCTTGTACTCATGTTAAGCGTGATGTACTATTTCTGTTTTGGTTTCAGGGCTTAGGGGGAGCCCAGGCCTCGCAAGTCCTAGTCCAGTCCTCTGCCACCGCGCGGTGTCCTTAGCCCCACCTCTTCCTTACTTTTCTTTTGAGATCGAGCTTGCTGATTCGTTCAGACTGGCACTGACTGTGGGACCCTCCTGGCCCGGCTCCTGAGAGGGCGGCGTTACGGCTGTGCACTGCCGTGCTCAGGTCCTGTGCGCAGTTCCGACAGCTTTCCCCTCTGAATTCTTTATACGGACAGAGCCCTCTTCCCACCATATTTCCTCACACTGTCTTTTATCATGCTGTTCTTATTGTGTCTATTTTATTGTTAATTATTTCACATTCTTTTAAAAGGTAAGTCTGGGGCTGGGAATGTAGCTCAGCAGCACAAACTTGAGGTCCTGAGTTTGATTCCTGGTACCTCCCCAAAAAAAGGTAAATAGAGGGTAAACGTTTCAATAAAGGGAATATAGCTTGTATTTGTTGGTTTGTTCGTGTCTCACTGTGTAGCCCAGGCTGGCCTCAAGCCCATGGCTCTCCTGGCTCGCCTCCCGAGTGCTGGGAGAGGTGTGCGCCACCACACCCAGCTGTATTCTTTACCTGTTACGGCTTACATATGTCACCTACAGTCATTAACCGAATCAGGTGTCCGCAGTGCCCAGCGGGATAAGAACCCTCACGTCAGACCTGGAGAAGCTTTTCTGAAGGGGTCAGTAAGGTCTCGGGAAGGAAGCGTGAGTGTAGACAGGCAATATGAAAAGTGGTCTTATTAGGAGATAGAAAAGGAGGGGTGAGTGTGAGGTTCTAGCACCTGAGCGGCCCAGAGGGACGCACCTGTGGGGGTTCAACAGTGACCCAACACTGTAACCCGAGCTGTCCAGCCAACCGAGACTAGAGAGTCCAGAGAGTCACTTGAACCCATGGGTTCAAGACCAGCCTAGTGGCGCAGCGCCTGCCTGGCAAGCATGAGGCCCTGGGTTCAATTCCTGGTACCAAAAAACAAAACTGAAAACAAAGACCAAAAAAAAAAAAAGGCCCCTAAAGACCAGCCAGGCAACTTAGTGAGATACCATCTCAAAAACAAACATGGTGAGAGGGCTTAGAAAAATGACCATAGCCTCTAGATAGAAACAAAGATGGGAGTTCTAGTATTTGATGTGACTTAATACCAAATTACTGCAGCACTAAAATAATCACTAAAAAGTAAGCCAGGCATGGTGGCCCAAACCTGTAATCTCAGCTATTTGGAAAGCTGAGACAAAAAGATGGCAAGTTTGAGAGCAGCCTGGGCAATTGAGTGAGACTATGTCAATATTTACAAACAGGGCTGGGGATATAGTTCAGTGCTTCCTGGATTCAGTCCCCGATACCAGGGGATGGGGACAGGGAGTGAAAAAAGAAAAACTTAGCCCTACTATGTTTTAAAATTTGATCTAAGCTGGGCGTAGTGGCACATGCCTGTAATCCCAGCATTTGGGAGGCTGAGGCAGGGGGATTGCTGCGAGTTCGAGGTCAGCTGGGTTACAAAGTGAGCTCAAGGCCAACCTGAACTGCATAGTGAGACCCTGTCTCAAAAATACAAAAACAAAAAAATCTAGGGCCTGGGGTTGTGGGTGAGTACTGAAGCACTTGCCTGGGTGTGATGCCTGTAGCAGCATACACATGGACACACACGAAGTCTGAGATTGGGGTGTGAGTGTAGCTCAGTGACCAGATGCTTGCTTAGAGGAGCAGAGCCCTAAGTCTGATCCCGAGCACCACAGAAATAAATAAATGATAGGTCTAAGATTATTTTTAAGTATGTATAGTAAGTTGGAACTTTAAAAATTTAGTACCTTGAGCTACATCACATTAATATGAATTTTATCATCTTAGGTTTTATTAGTGGAAGACTCAGAAAAATATGAAATATTCAGCAAACCAGACAGAGAGGAGTTCCTGTTTTGTCTCTTTAAACATCTTTGCCTTGGTGGATCCCTTTGTCAATATGAAGATGTGCTTAGCCCGTATCTGGAGACAGCAAAGCTTCTCTATAAGGATCTGGTGAGGTAATGTTACTAGCTCACGATGTGTAAATGTCTCGTTGGAGGAGCAAGCTGCTTAAGCACGGAGGAGTTACCCAGCATCTCCTGTGGTCATACTGACAACCGGAGCGTGTGGAGACAGCACTGTCCCCCTCCCGCTGCACCTCCTCCCTCTCTTGCGGGCCAGAAAGATCTCTAGATTTCCCTGACTCTGTCTCAGTTCTCAGTTCTTTCATTCTTCTTTATCTCTTCTTTCCTTCTTCAGAACTGTCACCTCCTCCTTCATTAGCAACTGCCTGTCTTCTAGGCCTCCCCCACCGGCCACCTCCTTTTAAACATCAAAGGAGCACAAGTTCCCTCAGGATGTTTGAGTTTGCTCAGCTAATAGTAAAGAATGATTACCTTTGTTCTAAAAAGGTGGAAGAATTTTCATCTAGGTGTAATGTTTACTTCCCAGATTAATCCCACACTATACAGTTAATTTTAGGTATTTTACTTGGGTGTTTGAAGATCCAATGAGGTTTAAAGCTTAATGAATTTCTTACTCATACTTTTAACTCCGGTCATTCTTTTGTGTTAGAACTTTTCCACCACAGAGATATTGTATCATCTTTATAGGCAAGGAGGAGAGAAAGGAAAGAAAGCGTAGGGTTCAGAGTTTAGTTACATAATTTTACTCTGTTAGGAAAACAGCGGAATTAGCTTCTCATCAGGTTCTTGTTAACTGACGTATGCACAGCACCTGAATTCCCGTATCTGTTCCATACCAGTTTATTTTACTTATTTAATTTCAGATATTTTTTATAATTATGGATAAGAGCATCTGATAGGATTTTAAAAACAAAAATATTTCTGTAATTTGATTTTGATGAAAAAGCTTCATCAGTACATAAAGATTATTTAGAGAGATACTAGAAACAGAATTTCAGAAAAAGTGCTCACAAATCAACATCAAACATACTCTGTTTTAGTAATATGAAGGTCATGTAAAACTGGCTAGACCACTCCTTGCACTCTTGAAGGTGCGCCTCCGTGTACCCCATCGTACACAGACGCGCACTACCACCACCGCACCCCAGCTGTCACAGGAACCTGTGGAATTCCTCACTACAGCGGCTGCGAAAGACATTCTGCAGGGGATCCTTGAAATAGAACTAACCCGAGAGCCTATAACTACCATTTTCTCCATTCTGCCATTCCCTGGATTATCTGTGATTCTCTGCTCTGTCTTCTGGGCATAGGAAAAAGTTTGTCCTGCAGAGTAATAATCGCTCACGAAATGAGCGGCTGAGATCATGCCATCTGACAGGAGAGGAAAGCAGTTGTCTCTGCAGCCCGCCAGGCAGCCGGCAAGCGTCACTGTCACGCACAGAGCTCTGCCAGGCTCCGCGGGGGCTACACGACGAGTGTCGCTCAGCCTTGATGCTGTTCTTTATTTACTTTTAAACGTTTTGCATACTGGGAATTGAATTGAGGACCTTGGGCTTGCCAGGCAGGCATTGTGCTGCTGAGCTATATCCCTGGCCCCAGCCTTGACTTCAAGAAAATTACAGCAAACTAATATGTGCTAGTAAAGGAATTACTTTAAATCTTTAAAGAAAAATTATTTATATAATCAAATACTCAGTTATAGGCAAATGCTTACAGCTTTTTTATTCTCTAACATACCCAGAAGTTCAAAAGAGAAAACAATCAGTGTCAGCTGTCAGAGGTCTTGATGAACTCAAGACTATAGGACCAAACAAAGCAAAGTGTAGTTTCCTCCGTTTAGAAGGGCTTCAAAGTCTGACAGTCTAGAGGAGGCAAGGAAATAGACCAGCCCAACCGCAGTAGTGCTTTGAGAATTATTAACTATTTCTCCTGATGCCGCCAGTCTGTGTAATGTGTTTTTGTGTAACTGGGGATTGAACCCAGGGCCTTCACACTAAGCTATATCCTCTGGTCTTATTGTTTATTTTGAAAGAGGATCTTGCTAAGTCACTTAGTTGGCCAGGCTGGGGTTGAACTTGTGAGCCTCCTGTCTCAGCTTCCTGAGAGCTGAGATTACAGGCATGTGCTACTATGCCCAGCAATCATCCCTAGCCCTTTTTATTTATTTATTTATTTGTTTTTATCTTGAGACAGGATCTCAAAAGGGTATTCATAAAAAACAATTATTTTACTTCAAAACCGTTAATAACATTTTTTTTGTAGGGCTGACTATTGAACTCAAGGCCTCATACATGCTAGGGAGTGTTCCCTGACTGAGCTACATCTTTCTCCTGTAATTATACTTTTAAAAAGCATCATATGAGGTCAAAGGAGGCTTATACACACCTGTAATCCCAGCACTCTGGGAGGCTGAGGCAAAAAGATCACAAATGTGACCCAAGCTTGGACAGCTTAGTGGCTTAGAAAGACCCCATCTCAAAACTTAGAAACAGGGCTTGTTACAGTCTAGGTGTAGGATGTACCTCCAGCAGTCTCGGGTGTGCAGAGGCGGGCTTGCTCAGAGGGGGGGGTCACTGGGACTGGGACCTGGCTCGTGGATTTTTGTTCCCCGCCTTTCTCTCTCTGCATCCTGGCTGCCACGGGCTGAGCATCCACCATGCCATTTCTGCATTGGAGGCAGACAGCCGTGGACTGAGCGCACTGCAAACCACGGGCCAAGTAAGCCTCTTTCTGTAAGTCACAGGCATCGGGCATGTGTTCCAGTGATAAGTGACCGAGTAGGGTTATTCCCTAGTACCACAGAAATAACACTAAAAAAGCAAAAAATTACAGATTGTTTTCGAAATATTTAAGTAATCTTAGTGTAGGACCAGAAGCAATGGAATGGAATAATACAACTTTTATTAGAAATCAACTTCTAAGAATGTACAAATGGTAGTTTCTTTTTAAAGTAATATAGTTATGGTATAAGTAATGTATGTTAGGCAATTATTACATGAAATAGAAAATACAAAATTTTCTTCTAAGCTTGTTTTGTCAGACAAACTTTTTTTGTTGTTCGTTTTTGTCTTTTTGAGACAGGGTCTTGCATGCAGTTCAGGCTGATCTTGAGCTCACTTTGTGGCCCAAGCTGGTCTCGAACTTGCAGTAATCCTCCTGCCTCAGCCTCCCCAGTGCTGGGATCGTAGGCATGTGCCACCACGCCCAACTTCAAACACAAACTTTTACAAAGATAGTTTTCCTTTAAATTTTTTAATGGTAATTTACATATAGTAAAGTAAGGAAGTCATAAGTAAATATACAAGTAAATTTTAATGCATGATTTCACTATATATATGTATACATATATATACATATATATGTATATATATGGGGTAGGTGTGTATATATATATATATGTATATATATGTATGTATATATACACACCTACCCCAGATTACGTTTTAGAGTTAGATGTAACCATAAATGTATTATTTATTTTGATGTAGGTGGTCATATAGTTATATTCAGATATTTAAAAGTGGTGGTTGTAGTCATTCTTTGGATAAACACAAACTTTTTTTTTTTTTGTGGGGGGTCTTTTTGAGACAGAGTCTCACTTTGCAGTTTAGGCTGGCCTTGAGCTCACTTTGTAGCCCAGGCTGGTCTCAAACTCAATGATCCTCCTGCCTCAGCCTCCCGAGTGCTGGGATTACAGGTGTGTGCCACCATGCCCAGCTGAGAGAAAAGCATTTTAATATGATACAGTGTATAATTTAACAAATAGCTTTCATATATATGTTATCTTATCCTAAAAGGAACCATATTATGCTCCATTTACATCTGAGAGAATTGAGGTCAGAAGGGTTCATTTTCTTCAGAGTGAAATGACTACTCAGTGGCAGAACTGGCATTTGTGCTTCGGTTGTTGAATTGTTTAGTGTAATACGCTTTCTCTGCCGCTTGCAGCTGTCTCAGCTTCAGTCCGACTTTAAATCTGTCGTCCAGAAACGGGTTCGGTGACGCAGGAGACTCACCTCACCGTCCGAGTCTCCGGCTGACGCGCAGCTCCTAAGCATAGAGCGCAGTTACCTGCTGGAGTTTTTGTTCTTGGCTTTGCCCATTTTGGATGAACCCTCAGATGCCTTTCTTTTCAAATAGATACTGTGGGGGCTGGGGATTTAGCTCAGCGGCAAAAGCGCCTGCCTGGCAAGTGCAAGGTCGTGAGTTCAGTTCCTGGTACCGGAGAAAAACCGAAAAACCAAAAAACAAACAAACAAATAGATACTGTGTATTTCCTTGCTCTGTATGAATAAGAACACTTAAATACCAAAAAGAGATTATTGCTTCAGGTGTGGCATGCCAGTGCTTACACACATAGACACGCACGTGGCGCACACACATTTTTATGGCTTTCCGATGAGTTTGTTAGCTCAGCAGTCAAAGCCAAGTTTTCCCCCAGGGCTGTTTACCTGTATAATCAAGACACCTCCTCTCTTTCCTCACTGTCAGGTGTTTCTGCAAACTCACAGCTGTATTTTCTTGTGCCCACAGGTGTAATCCAGGCCGGCTGGTGCTGTCGTTTCCCTAGGTCTCTTCAATTGGTGATACCCATATTCCCCACTTACAGTATCACAATTTTAACATGTGTAACTTTTCTGAAATCAGGATGTATCTTCTGTCCAAGTACATACTTACATAAAGCTTTTGTCCGTTGTTTCCCTTGAAGAACTGTGACTGCACTGGTGGCTGGGCTTCCCTCAGTGGTGCCGAAGCAGTCAGAGTGCGACAGTCGCGGCTGTCCTCGCTGCGCGCCGGGCCCCTGTGCTCCGCCCGCCGGATCTCACACGCCGCAGCATTTTGGCCTTTTTTCTTTGACTCACATCCTTGTGGGGCCCTGTACTACCTTAGGCTCCATATTTTTAAACGTTTAATTAAATGTATTTCAAGTACTTGCAACATTTCAAATGTACCTTTTTCTCTCTTTTAGTGTTCGAAAACACCCTCAAACCAAGAAAATACAAATTACTTCTTCTGTCTTTAAAGTTACAGCCTATGTAAGTACTGATGGAAGTTTGCAACAGAAGAAATTAATTGCTTATTATTAATGGAGTTGTTAAACTGGGTATATTGGTACAGGCCTGTAATCCTAGCATTCTAGGAAGCTGAGGCAGGCTCAAGGCCAGCCTGGGTGATTTAGTGACTTAGTAAGACCCAGTTTCAAGTTTCAAATTTTTTAAAAAGTGGAGTGGAGGGCCAGGGATGTAGCTCAGTGGCACGGCGCCTGCCTGTCAAGAGCAAGGTCCTGAGTTCAATTCCTGGTACCAAAAAACAAAACAAAACAATAATAAAAACAAAAGTAGAGTGGAGGGGAGCTGGAGATATAGCTCACTTCAGACACCCTGGGTCCATCTCTAGTACCAGAAAAGAAAACAGCTGGAATTAGCAATTAACATACTGTTATGACTCGGAGAAAAGATAATGGTACAGTAATTAATGTTTTATTCAAATTAAAAGTTGACCAGCCAGTGTGGCGGCACACACCTGTAATCACAACACTTGGGAGGCAGACGCAGGAGGATTGCCTGGTGTTCAAGGCCAGCCTGGGCTACACAGTGAGTCCAATGGCCTGAACTACGTAGCAAGACCGTGTCTCAAAAAATCAAAACGTTAAACTTAAGTAAGTGTTGATAGGATATGCTTTTGCTTGGGGAACTTCTTTCCATTGCTTCCCTTCCATTGTCTATATCTAATAATATTCCTTGCTCATGTTAGCTCTACATCTGTAACTCTGATGAAGTAGAGCCAATTCTCTAGTCCGTCAAACTACAATTTATAGAGCAAATAATGCCATAAGTGTCTTTCTGTCATACAATCTGCTACTTGAATTTTAGTGTTGTACAAAAGATGTTACATATAATGCAGTTTCTAAGTATCTTTAATAACAAATATTTATTAAATATTTACTGTTTCAACTAGTGTGCTGGGCTATAGCACAGTGATAAACAAAAGAAACATAATCTCTACCCTCATGATACAGAAGGACTTGGTTCTAAGAGAAAACAAGGCCTGCTGTGATGGCGTCATGAATCTAGGCCAGCCTGGTCTACACAGTGAGTTTGAGGCCGGCCTGGTCTATATAGTGAGCCCCTGTCTCAACCCTCTCCCACAAAACTTAAATAAGTAAAAGAAAGAAAACAAAGATAGAAGAAAACTGCTATGTAGAAAGTTTGTAAAATTAGCATAGTAAAAGCACTTTTTAAAAAGGTGGGATTTCCCTTTGGAGTATAAACTCCTTAAGAACATGAATATTATATATATACATACACACATGTATATTATGTATATGTATAGTATAGATTTATTTGTAATGTAATACATAGACTATATTGTTAGTAAATATTTCATTTATTTATTTTATTTATTTATTTTTTTATTTTTTGTCTTTTTGACACAGAGTCTCCCCATGCAGTTCAGGCTGACCTTGAGCTTACTTTGTAACCTAGGCCGGCCTTGAACTTGCAACGATCCTCCTGCCTCAGCCTCCCAAGTGCTGGAATTACAGGCATGCACCACCATGCCCGGCTATTAGTAAACATTTTAAAATATTAACTAGCAATTTATTTTCAAAGATTTTACTTATTTATTTATTTATTTTGGGGTACTGGGAATCAAACTCAGGACCACACACTTGGCAGGCAGGCGCTGTGCCATTGAGCTGTATCCCCAGCTTTGAAATACGTAAAGATTTTATGTGTGTTTCAGCAGAAAATACATAGTCGTCAGATATGTTAATCATCATGGAAGTGTGGTTGTGCACTAAATAACTTAGGGTTATGTTTTTCAGGATTCTACTGGTGTGTGCTACCCTTCCACAAAGAGTCACGAGCAGACATTTGCTTACTTTATTGTGGATCCTATCAAGCGTCACGTCAATGTTTTATACCACTGTTTTGGTGTAGGGGAGATGTCTTAGTGTTCTTACATGTTACCTATATCTGCTGTATTTTAATTTATCATTTCTCTATTTTAGTGGTGATTTATGGACAAATACTGTGTAGATGAGTTGAAGTAAAATATATAGAGTGTGCTTAGAACTGAAGAAAGCAAACCCCAAGGTGCCTTTGGAAATTTGTCTAGCGGACACATTTCTACTCACATAGGAATGCTAGTATAACCTGTATGAAACACAGAAATTTTTACAGGAAGTTACAAGGAACTAAAAATTGCCGGGCGTGGTGGCGCACGCCTATAATCCCAGCACTCAGGAGGCTGAGGCAGGAGGATCGTTGCAAGTTCGAGACCAGCCTGGGCTACAAAGTGAGCTCAAGGCAGCCTGAACTGTATAGCAAGACCCTGTCTCAAAAAGACAAAAATAAATAAATAATTTAAAAAATAAAAACCCCATTCATATTCGCTCAAATGAGAAGCCAAACATGGTGACACACATCTGTGATCCTAGCACTTGGTTGGCTGAGGTAGGAGGAGGCATAGTGAGTTCAAGGCCAGCGTGGGCTATCCACTGAGACCCAGTCTCAATAAATTAAAAGCTGGGGGTGGGGGCGTACCTCCGTGGTAGAGGTACGTTGTCTAGGCTGCGTTAGGTCCTGGTTCCATTCCCAGCACTGCCTCACCCCCAGAATATTCAGATGAGTTGTTAACTTTGCATGTTAGCTTTTAAATTTGAATTTCAATTAATACATGTTTTTCTAAGGAAAAACACAGCAGTTCTTTTGCTTCATTTATTCCACTCAAAATCCTCCATTGAAAAAATAATGTTTTGAAAGTAACTGTAGTGCTCACCTCACAGCATAAATACTAAAATCAGAACGATACAGAGAAGATGAGCACGGCCCCTGCGCAAGAGTGACACGCAAATTCGGGAAGCGGTCCATGCTTTTTCAGTCTCACATGTCTATATTCGTTTGCCTGGTAACCAATTTGAAGATATCAATGTGTAGTACAACCACTGTTAATTTCCTATCGCCTTGTCTGAAATTCTGTATTGCTTATATTTGTGTGTTATTTTGTAAATGTATGTTAATATTTTCATTCTTTTATCTTTAAAATAAAATAAAAAATAAAAGTAATTGTAAACTCTTTTATCACACAATAAATTAAAAGTACAGCTTCCCCACAGCTAATACAAGATGTACACGTAACAGAGAAAGTTGTCTTGATTGTGTTAAATTGGCAAAAGCGCGAGAAACAAGTTGTCCTGTTACTATCTCTCATTACACTCATAGAATCAGCGTTCTGTAACTTAAGTCTTTGTAATGGGAGCAGTGACTGACACACAGCCCCTAGGCGATAGAAAGCCTGCAGGAAATGCTGAGATGAGGCAGAACAAGGTTAGAACATGTGTGTCAGTGTTGCAGAGTAATCGTGGATCTGCAGCTGAATTTGAATACAGAAGCCCCTGGCCCCTTAGGTGTGGAGCTGTGAGAGAAACGTTGGCTTTGGCTCTTAGCGCCTATCACAAGTCCTTAGCACCTTAGGTGTTTACTAAAGGAATACTGCTTTCCAGATGTGTTGTGTAGATTGAACGTACCCTCTCCGAAGTGCTTGGGGCCAGAAGGATTTCAGATTTTTTCATATTTAGGTATATTTGGAGACTCCGCTGATTAAGCATTGCTAATCCAAACCTCTAAATACTTGGAATACAAAACTTTTTAGCCGGGTGTGGTGGCACATGCCTGTAATCCCAGCACTCGGGAGGCTGAGGCAGGAGGATCGGTGCAAGTTTGAGACCAGCCTGGGCGACAAAGTGAGCTCAAGGCCATCCTGAACTGCATAGCGAGACCCTGTCTCAAAAAGACCACAAAAAAAAAAACTTTAAATGCTGACATGACAGTAAGAAGTAGCATTTCTGATTTCAGATTTGCAGATTAGGGATATGCAACCTGTAATATTTATAGATTTCCCCCCAAATTTCTTTTTTTAATTTTTTTTAGTTAATATAGGGAAAACATACAAATTACATATATTTATGGAGTACAATGTGACATTTGAGTGTAGGTGTACAATGTGTAATTTAAAATTATGTAAAAACAAGCCAAGTATGGTGGCACATACCTGTAATCCCAGCACTCAGGAGGCTGAGGCAGGAAGATTGCTGTAAATTCGAGGTCAGACTGGGCTACAAAGTAAGTTCAAAACCAGCCTGAATTTTTTGAGACCCTCAAAAAGACAAAATTCTGCAAAAACAGAATTGCTGGGCAAGGTAGCACTGTAACCCCAGCAGTCTGGGAGGCTGAGGCGTGAGGATTGCAAATTCAATCCCAGTCTGGGCAATTTAGGAAGACCCCATCTCATAGTAGCCCGGAGTTCAATCCTCAAATTAAAAGCAAGAGCTCCAATTATTTGCTGGTAGTCTTGCTGCAAACCACACAATCCCTCAGGTGCAAAACCCTCTCAGTCAGTCAGTCAGTGACTGAATTCCATGTCTGTGCGGTTTGCACTAGGGACACGTGCATTCCCTGTAAACCTAGCAGGGAAGGTAATTTTCTAAGAGTGTGACAGCAGAGAGCAGCCCGCGAATTCAGAGATGGGAGAGGTCGTTGTGAGCAAGGCCCAAGAAGGGCTTAACCTGGAGGAGCTGACACGGTTCTAACAACCGGAGAGAGCTCAGAGGGGACGCAACGCGGCTGGGTGTGCGGAGCCTGGGCTGGGCCGGGGCGGGGCCGCGGCGAGGAAGTGAAAGGTGGGAGACTGTCCGTCGTGGTTTTTCCCCAGCTCTCAAGGTAGAAGTGAAAGGTACCTTTGAGGAAAGATTGCTCCATTGTTTGGGGAAAATCACTTCAATGACCCGCCTGTGATGATGCAAATTATCTAAACAGAGAGGTTTAAAGGGAAAGTGATGCAGAGTTTGGGGTTTGGCCTGAATTCTTAATTTTGCCATGACTTTACTGTGTGACCTTCAGCTGATTCCTTAACCTTTCTGTGCCTGTTCTATAAAGTGGAGAAAATAGGATTTCTTCCTAGGTTATTTTGAAAATCGCCTACATGAACGCGTATACTGGGTTTACAGCGGTGCCAAGCGGCTGGAGTGCTGGTGCGTCTTGACTGTGCTCTTGCTTGACTGTGGGACTGAGATGAAATGAGCTCAGCTGTCTGCATAATAATGTAAAACGTCTCCAGGAGCTAACTGCTTTTTTACAGATCATTATCATTACTTTGACTAGATAGAACGTGAAAGAAAGAAAAACTGGCTTCCCCGCCCTCCCTGGGCCCCAGAGAACGGAGAAATCTCGAATCTGGACGCCCAGTTTTGTTGTTTTGTGGTTCTGTTTTGGGGAGGTTGTTTTTGTCTCATCTTTTTGCACACCGGGATTTACTTTCCAGACTAATCAGCTTACTGTGTGTCATGAGGTCAAGCATCGTGTCACGCAGTGTAGTCCCCGCACACTGGGGGGCTGAAGCAGGGGGATCTTGAGTTCAACACCAGCCTGGGCTACATAGGAAGACTTTGTCCCCCCAAAATAAACAGAAGTCTCCGTCTCATGAAAGCGGCTCGCGTCTGTTCACGCTTGCATCCCGAGTGCCTAGCGTGCTGCGTGGCGCGGGGAAGACGGCACCCTGCCCTTGTCTGCCTGCCAAAGCCCGTGTGATGCAGGCAGCCGGCCTTGGAGGGAGATTCCTGGGAGTAGGAAGACGGGGAAGCGGAAGGGTCTGCACTCAGGGCTGGGAGTGTCACCCTGAAACCCTCCTCTGCAGGGGCAAAGCCCGAGGGTCCTGCAACCTTTCTGTCTAGGTGCCGATCTTAAGTTCCCTGTGCCCCAGTCCCTCTAGTCATCCCTAAACCCTTTGTTAAATTCTGCGGACTATTGTAGTCTGGATTCAGCTTTACAGCGTGGGATTAGCCGCGCAGCCTGGGAACGTGCCTGGGGCAACACGGCCCCTGGAGAGGCCTGTAGAAGCCAGCTTTGAAAAGGCACGCTCTGATAGATGAGAACGGAGGGCTGTCTGGAACGAGACAGCTGACCGCGTGCAGCAGGAGGGATGGTGCCTCGAGAGTGGTTTTCTCGGACTTGAGAACATTCTTCAGAATTTCAAACGTTACCTACAAAGAAAAGGCTCACAGACCGGCAATTTGTTTTTTTTTTCCGGTACCGGGGATCGAACTCACGACCTTGCGCTTGCCGGGCAGGCGCTGTGCCGCTGAGCGAAATCCCCAGCCCTACAGCTGTGTAATTTGGACATTAAAAGGAGAGAGGTAGACTAAAGGTTAGAGAACCTGGGACAGTCAGGTCCCCTGAGCAGAAGGACATACAAAGGCGCAAACACACGGGTTCAAAGAGACCTGAGTACAGGTGGGTAGTCAGATTAGGGGAGTCCCATCCGGGCCTTCTGGGCTCCCTGGGGGAGCAAGTAAATGGCGGCCTGATTACTGAGGGTTGTAGGTGCAAAGCTAAGAAATGTACATCTCTGAAGTAGATGTACTGCAGTCATCAGATTTTTGAGCTGGAGCAAAGCACCATGTGACGTTCTGGAACGACCGTCTGGCGGTGATAAATCGGTATGAAGAAAGTCTAGGTTAGAGCACTTCTCAAAGCGGCAGTTAGCTGAGCTGAGCTAACATCAGCGGCGAGTCCTCCGGGCACCACGAAATATGCGACAATTGAATGCTTATTAGGAAAAAAACCAGATCCGACTCAAAAAATGTTACCCAACTAGTGAAACAGGAAGTGTGGGTTATCTGAAGTGTCAAAGACCACAAGTGGGAACTGCGGTAGGAACTTGCGGTCACAGAACAGAAGGGAAACCCGGAGCCCGGAGCCCGCCCCGCCTGTCTAATACATAGGCCTGTTGGTTCCAAGCCATTCTCGGCCAGTTTGGGGCCTTAAAACTTTGAAAACAGGTATGAGGTGGGCGTGGTGGCACATGCCTGTGATCCTAGCATGTGGGAGGCTGAGGCAGAAGGGTCTCCTCCAGTTCAAGGCCAGCCTGGGCTACACAGTGAGTTCAAGGCCCACCTGCTCTACCGAGCAAGACCCTGTCTCAAAAAGCCAGGAAAAAAAAAAAAGACAAGATTTGTTCTATTAGAGAGTTTACGTTCTAGTGCTTATGACTGTATCAAGGGCAATGAGAGACGATACCTAATTCAAGAAGCTTGAAGTCTTATTGGAGACCTAAGACACTCATAAAGGTTCATGCTACCAAGTACAAAATAGCCTCTAAGAGTCAAGTGCCTAGCGGGGACTAATTGCTAACAGATTTCAGAAGAAATCATATCTACTCAGGGAATCAGAAAAGTCTTCAGAGAGGGTCTGAAACTCTTAGAGAAGGATGTTGAAGGAAC